CAGTACTGACCGAATTTTTTCCCATAAGGAATATTGTGAAGTAGATTAGTCCATTTCAGACCCCCAAACATACACGTACAAACGCACTTACATAAATACACTTACATAATTGGTCGCATTTGGAGGTGATCGTTAAGCGGGGGTCCACTGTATTCTCATACATCCCGCTTCCTCACGCGATTTCACTCTTCACTGATGATAGTATACACTTCACATTATATACACTTCACTTTATATGTATAATGGCACACAACTTGTCGTGACGTCACTTCTTCAGGCCTACCGCTGCCAATGTGGCAACAGTGCCTAAGACCCCCAACGGTTTGCGCTTTGAAATATTTTGATTTCAGCTTTCCTCTCACTTTTTTTAACTAATAACTTTAATTATCACTCTAGTATTGTTCACTGACGTTCCACTACCACTATTACCGCTAGCTGTTATTGCACGCCTTACAACGCTAAGGTTCTCGGAGCCTTGTTACCCACGTCTGCACCCCACGGACCCACGCGTCTGTGTGTGTGCGCGTGCGAGAGAGTGAGGTGAAAGTGTTTTCTTTTTGGGGATTTTCTTTCTTTTCTGGGTCACTCTGCCTCGGTGGTTGACAGCTGACTTGTTAAAAAAAAAAAAAGATAGATAAATAGATAGTACAACTTGAGTCCTGAAGGTGAAAACCACAGTGCCTGAACTCTGAAGGAGGGGTGGAGATATCTGCAGTTTTGGAAGGGCATCTGAACTGTAGTACCTATGTACCTCTGGCAAGACAATGATAGGGTGAATGATGGTGAAAGTGTGTTTTTTTTTTTGGGTCACCCTACCTCGGTAGGAGACAATTTTTTTTTTTTATTATCACACTGGCAGATTTCCACCAAGGCAGGGTGGCCCGAAAAAGAAAAACTTTCACCATCATTTACTCCATCACTGTCTTGCCAGAAGGGTGCTTTACACTACAGTTTTTAAACTGCAACATTAACACCCCTCCTTCAGAGTGCAGGCACTGTACTTCCCATCTCCAGGACTCAAGTCCGGCCTGCCGGTTTCCCTGAATCCCTTCATAAATGTTACTTTGCTCACACTCCAACAGCACGTCAAGTATTGAAAACCATTTGTCTCCATTCACTCCTATCAAACACGCTCATGCATGCCTACTGGAAGTCCAAGCCCCTCGCACACAAAACCTCCTTTACCCCCTCCCTCCAACCTTTCCTAGGCTGACCCCTACCCCACCTTCCTTCCACTACAGACTGATACACTCTTGAAGTCATTCTGTTTCGCTCCATTCTCTCTACATGTCCGAACCACCTCAACAACCCTTCCTCAGCCCTCTGGACAACAGTTTTGGTAATCCCGCACCTCCTCCTAACTTCCAAACTACGAATTCTCTGCATTATATTCACACCACACATTGCCCTCAGACATGACATCTCCACTGCCTCCAGCCTTCTCCTCGCTGCAACATTCATCACCCACGCTTCACACCCATATAAGAGCGTTGGTAAAACTATACTCTCATACATTCCCCTCTTTGCCTCCAAGGACAAAGTTCTTTGTCTCCACAGACTCCTAAGTGCACCACTCACTCTTTTTCCCTCATCAATTCTATGATTCACATCTTTCATAGACCCATCCGCTGACACGTCCACTCCCAAATATCTGAATACGTTCACCTCCTCCATACTCTCTCCCTCCAATCTGATATCCAATCTTTCATCACCTAATTTTTTTGTTATCCTCATAACCTTACTCTTTCCTGTATTCACCTTTAATTTTCTTCTTTTGCACACCCTACCAAATTCATCCACCAATCTCCACAACTTCTCTTCAGAATCTCCCAAGAGCACAGTGTCATCAGCAAAGAGCAGCTGTGACAACTCCCACTTTGTGTGTGGGAGACAACTAGTGTTAAAAATATATAAGGTATGGAAAACACCATGTAAGCCTGTTTAAGCAACATTCTCATGTTCAGTTATATGGTTTAACATGTCTGGACTGGCTCTCACCACTAACTTAGGTCATGGAAGAATAACAAGAATTACTCCTGGTTAAGTATAATTCAAAAGTTTAGGTTTTTTACTTACTGTACATATCTAGATTTCTTGAAAGTGCCTTCACTGTCTGTCCCACCTCCAGGACTCAAGTCAAGTTTACCAGTTTTCCTGAATCTCTTCATAAATGTTATCCTACTCACACTCCAACCACATATCCAGCATTTACAACCACTTGTCTCTTCTCACTTCGATCTAACATACTCACATGAGCTTGCTGGATGCTCGAGCCTCTAGCACTCAAAACCTCCTTACATCCTCCTTCCAAACATTCCTTCCTTCCATCTGAGATTTATACAACCTCTGGTAATCTAAATGGTGATGTCAGCACTTCTAGCATGATAAGTGTTTGAATGAACAATGATGAATTTGTTTCTTTGGCTCACCCTACCCTAGTGGGAAAAAGGCCATCAAGGCAGAGAAAAATTTAACAAAATTCACACCTTGATATACCTACCTCTGAATTGTGGGCATATTCCAAGAAAAATTTCTCAAGGAAGTCTCGCAGCCACAATGAGTGAGTGTTGCATTCTGGACCACAAGAAACAATTGGGTATACAGCCACAAATGCATCCACAAATGCATTGAGAGAGAGTGTACCTTCTCCAATGAGAGAGACAAAGACTTCTGTAAATACCTCTTTCTTGTGTTCAGCCAAAACCTGAGTTAGAATGATGCTCATTACAAAATGCCGCAAAGAAAATGCGTTTCATTTTTTGACTTGTACAAAAGTAGTTTTCATCCTAGTTTAAGTCTGTCTGAAATGCTGTGCATGCTATAGATTTTCAACAAAAATTTTATTATTTATACACAGGTAAAAAAAATTGTATGGTATTAAACTAATGTATAATTTGCATTTTTCCATCAGTTCACAAAATAGCAATTATGGTATGTTCTCTTCAATATACTGTACCAATTATAAAAAAAATTCTAAGAATTTATCTCCAATTTTTGGGCTTGTTATCAACTGTTCCAGCCACAGTACTGTGATTCATATTCTTCTATCAAAAATAAGTTGAAGAGATATGTAAGCAGATAATTTATCAAAGTTACAGTAGTACTTGAACCAGTGGAGAGAGTCTAGTAGCCCCATCTTCAGTGATGAGTAGTAGGCGCGAGTGTTGAAGCAATACCACCACCAGCTGGTAGGCTCGAAGGGAGGCCAGAACTGTTGATACCTGCGAGATAAGAAAGCCAGAAATCCTGTGAAAAAATTCACCTTGGAAACAACAATGATAATTTATTTAATATTATGCATACTCCTTTTGATAACCTGTTGGGCTTATTACGTACTATTGTAGAGATGATGTAATTTTAGTAAAGACTCAATCTTGAGGAAAAAGGGAGAGAGTGGATATTAATGTCTAGCATGAACCAGTAGACTTACTGCAGTATTCCCCTGTTCTTATAACATTAATGTACCCCACCTAATCCATTACTTTTGTAACAAAATTAACTTTGCTCTTGCTGGTTGTCTATTTTTTTTTAAGTGCCTGGGATGGCATGAAGAGAGGATGACTACTAGGGTATAGGGTAAACAAAACATATACAATACCTATGCAGTTTGTCAAAACTACTGATGAAGCAGCTGTGGGAGGATGACCCTTGCCATGGGTTATGTGAATTACAGAAGGTTGTATAATTTGATCCAGGCAAACACCAGATGAGCCTGGCCCATGGCCAGGCTCCAGGAGTAGAAGAACTCTTGGAACTTATCAAAACATTTGCCTCCAGCACAGAAATACTTATTGATCCTGTGTATTATTCAGTTGCTTATGAGGTTTAATTTAGAGTTTATCCAAAAGCTTGCATTATCATTTTTTTTTGAAGACTGCATTACTTTACAGGTATCAATATTTAAGTTTGTTTATCACATACTATTTATTCAATTAAATGCCTTATGTTTTCTAAATCACTTTGGAGTCTATAATGTTTAAATAAGATAATATGACCTGTCTCCCTAAATACTTAAAGAAAAGTCCATTATCACGTACGTAAACAAGAACAGACAAGATCTAAAGCCTGACCCTGTGGTATACCAAATGCTATGCTACATTATAATGAATTTCCATTTATGATTATTCAATGATTACTTCCAGAAAGTTGACCTTGAAGCCATCTTTGTGCACAACCATCTATACCTCATAGTACAATCCAATGGACTAAGATCAAATCCTAGGTGGGAAGAGAAAGAGTGGCAATTTCCCAAAGGTCTGCTACCCTTGTTATCCCTCAGTAAATAGATACTGTTTTGAGTTGTATCCTGGATAAGGACCTAAATAAGGCCCTAATGGAAATAAGTCATACTGCTTGGCTTTCTTATTGTGATTTCTATTTTAAAAGAACTCTCTGATATGGACTTTATCAAAATCTTTCCTCAATTTTTTCTTTTTATTAACACATCGGTTGTCTCCCACCGAGGTAGGGTGACCCAAAAAAAATAAAAACTCTTTCACTATCATTCAACACTTTTGCTATCATTCACACATAGTCCCTGTCTTTGCAAAGGTGCCCAGATATAACAGCTTAGACGTCACTCCAAATAGCCAATATCCCAAACTCGTCTATTAAAGTGCAGGTATTGTACTTCTCACCTCCAGGACTCAAGTCCGACTAACCAGTTTCCCTGAATCCCTTCACAAAATATTACCCTACTCACACTCCAACAGCTCAACAGGTCCCAAAAACCATTTGTCTCAATTCCTGAAATATATACATATAAAAGTGGGAGATGGGATATTTGCTGTTTGGAGTGACATCTGAACTGTCATATATGCATACTTCTGCAAACACAGTGATTATGTGTGAATGATGGTGAAAGTGTTTCTTTCTTTTTTAGGTCACCCTGCCTTGGTGGGAGATTGTTGACGTGTTGAAAAAAAAAAAGTAATATACCTGTACAAGTACATGTACTATTAATATACCTGTACTATTACCAGTAATATACCTGTACTATTACCAGTAATATACCTGTACTATTACCAGTAATATACCTGTACTATTACCAGTAATATACCTGTACTATTACCAGTAATATACCTGTACTATTACCAGTAATATACCTGTACTATTACCAGTAATATACCTGTACTATTAACAGTAATATACCAATTTCAGTACCAGTAATATACCTGTACCAGTCATATATGTACCTATATTAGTATCAGCAATGGACCAATATTAATACCAGTAATATACCTGTATTAATACCAGTAATGCACAAATATTAAAACCATTAATATATGTACTTGTATTAGTACCAGTAATATACTTGTATTAGTACCAGTAATATGCTTGTATTAGTAACAGTAATATACCTGTATAAAAACCAGAAAAATGTCTAGTCCTATTAATATACTACCTGAATAGCACTAGTAATATATGTAACTGCATTATTATCAGTAGTAATAACATACTGGACATAATATGGCAATACAGTGAGATGTGGAAGAACAAATACAGAACAACTGTGCTTAGTTACTACACCTGTTCTGAAGAGCCACGATCCAGGAACACCAAGGCCAAGGCCAAAACATCTGTTGGTCGAGGTTCTGCCGTTTTAGACAACTCTTGCTTAATTATCCCTAACACCTGAAAATACCATCATATTATAAGCTACACAAGAGCCAGGCTATTAAATAGTGTAAGAGTATAAACAGTACGAGACAATGGAGCTAAACTCTTCTCCAGGCTGAAGGACTGACCACCTTACTTTTTTCTTCAAGGTTGATGGACTGATATGTACATCATCTTCATTTCATCACTACTGCTCCCTCTGTATTTGACTGAAGAAGCCTACTGTGTAGGCAAAATGTTTCATCAATAAAGATATCCAACTGTTGCACATGTGTCTTAATCTTCTACTTGTCAGTTTTTATACCATTTTCAACATAAACAGTATGGTTTCAGATAAGTGTCTAGACATTTCTAATCAACAAAATTTTTATTATACAGAATCTTAAACTTATGAACATTGAAAAAATAAAATATATAACTTATTCTAACAAATCAAATACAATATTAAAAAAAAAACTAAAGATGTTAGATTAGGGTACAGTCCACACTGTTAGATGACAATATTTACAAACCATGCATAGTTTGAAGGGACATCTAAACTGTTGTATCTGAGCGCCTCTGTAAAGACAGTGATTACGAGTGATGGTGAAAATATTGAATGATGACAAAAGTTTTTTCTTTCTTTTTCTGTTTTTCTTTCTTTCTGGTTTATCCTGCCTTGGTGGGAAGTGGCTAACATGTTAAAAAAAAAAAAAAAAGCACAGAAAGTCGTCATATGTTTTTGATGTACAGTGGAACCTCAAATTTCGAACTGAATCAGTTCCAGGAGCTAGTTCTAAAGTCGAAGCAATATTTCCCATAAGAACTAATGGAAATACAATTAATCTGTTCCAGAAACCCAAAAATATTCACAAAAAAATACATTTTATTAACAGTATTACATGATAGTTTTACATATACACAACAAATATAGTGTACAATATTAATAAATTTAAATAAACATATAAAATAACATTTTTATTTACCTTTATTGAAGATTGGTGATGGCATCTGGAAGATAGGGAGGAGTAGAGAGGGAGTTGGGGTTAGTGTTTGGAAGGGGAATCCCCCTCCATAAGGACTTTAGGTATCAAAGCCCTCTCTGGGGTTACTTCCTTTCTCTGTCTTTTAATGCCACTAAGAGCAGCTTCAGAGTCACTGGACCCCTCTCTCACAAAATAACTGTCCACAGTCCTCTGTTTCTGGTGCCTCTTTAAGATTTCCCTAAAATAGGACATGTTTCTCTCACTGAACTTGCTGCAAAGATGGCTTGTTTCAGTTTGCTCAGAGTGGTACTTCTCCACAAACATTTGGACATCATTCCACTTGGCACAAATCTCCTTAATCTTTGAATTGGCATGCAACTTCCTTGCCTTTTCACAAATAACTGTCTCTGAAACACTATCACCTGCCATCTCTTTATCCTTGATCCACACCAGCAACAACTTCTCAACCTGATCGATTGTCTGTGGTCTTTTTTTTGGTTAGCATATCAGCACCTTTTCCTAGGTAGTAGATTGGAAGACAGCAACCACCCAGGGAGGTACTACCATCCTGCCAAGTGAGTGTTTTTTTGGGTCCATGGTAGCTTATTTCACAGTCCCACAAGCACTAAATACAATGAATTAATTGTAAAATGTGTGAATGAGACTGCAGGCTAGTGTTCACTCAAGCATCAACAAAGCCAGACTGGCTCACGGCGCCTGCGTTGGGACACGGACAGAGCGGGCTGGTGGACAGGTCCGGTACCCGGCAGCTCGAAAGAAGAGGCGAGTTTGATAATAGGGACAAAGTTGGTTCAAGAAATGCGGTCGAAAGGCGAAGAGTTCGTTAAGCGATACGTTTGACATTTGAGGTTCCACTGTACAGTAATTATTTTGCTCTGTTATTCTCAAGGGATTCCTCTCTGAGACTTCAGTCATGTCATTCATACAGCAAGGCTTTTATTCATTATAATTTTCAAAACAGTGTTTAATTTTTCTTGTCCCTTCCTCAAAGCTGAGGATTTGTAAATATAAAAAATAAATTAAACAGTTTGTATATTATTACTTTATACCTTCATGTTACAGAAATATTTGAGAAATATCCTCATTGTCTCTATGTGAATGGAGGATGTTATGCACTGTGACATACTGGATTGTTGTGAGGCTTGTGTAATTGTGTATTAAGCGTAAGTTTGGTTAAAGAAACAAGACTCTAAGGTATGTGGCATTACGTTATGGCAGAAGAAAAGGTGGGATTTAGTGTTGACATTTTTGTCCAATTCTGGTGTTCCCATGAGATGTATACTATAGCCAGAAAATACTGTACATATACGAAAATGCCTTGAGAATGTTATTTCAAGATATTCAACATGATAACCTTAACCCTGCCTTGGTGGGAAACAGATGAGATTTTAAAAAAAAAAATTACGACAGATAAAACCAATGTGCACTGCCATGTAAGAGTGGTGATGATAATTTCAAATTTGCCACTGCTACAAGTGCCAAGTCAAGCTGTCCCAGAATGTCTCTTTGGGGTCACCCTATGAATTTCTTTCATGTGTGGATATTGTGATACCCTTTAACATGTATCATAATTAATCTTGCTCTCTAGTCTATTGTGTCTAGTATAGTATAAAGAGAAGTTCTTCAGGTAAAGTAAGGAATTTGCATAGCCTGAGTACATTACTCCTGTCTTAAAGCTGACTAAATGTCTTTGCCAAGCCTCTTTTATATGTAATATGTTATGGGGAGCTGGAGGTACTGGGTGTATGGCAGGAATATTTTGAGGCATTTTTAAATGTCAATGATAAAAGGGAGGCAGTGATTTCATGCACTGGAGTGAAGAAGAGAAGGATGTAAGTGTGGAGGAGGTGCGTGAGGCATTATGTAAAATGAAAGGGGTAAAGCAGCAGGAACTGATAGGACCATGACAGATATGTTAAAAGTAGGGGGAAATATTGTGTTGTAGTTGGTATTTTTGTTTAATAAATGTATGAATGAGGGGAAGGTACCTAGGGATTGGCAGAGAGCATGTATAGTTCCTCTATATAAAAGGAAAGGGGACAAAAGAGATCGTAAAAATTATAAAGAAATAAGCTTACTGAGTGCTAGGTAGTAGGTTGGTAGCCAGCAACCACCCAGGGAGGTACTACCGTCCTGCCAGGCGAGTGTAAAACAAAAGCCTGTAATTGTTTTACACGATGGTAGGATTGCTGGTGTCCTTTTTTCTGTCTCATGAACATGCAAGATTTCAGGTATGTCTTGCTACTTCTACTTACACTTAGGTCTCATATATCACATACATGTACAAGCACATATATACACACCCCTCTGGGTTTTCTTCTATTTTCTTACTAGTTCTTGTTCTTGTTTATTTCCTCTTACCTCCATGGGGAAGTGGAACAGAATTCTTCCTTCGTAAGCCATGCGTGTTGTAAGAGGCGACTAAAATGCTGGGAGCAAGGGGCTAGTAACCCCTTCTCCTGTATATATTACTAAATGTAAAAGGAGAAACTTTCGTTTTTCCTTTTGGGCCACCCCACCTTGGTGGGATACGGCTGGTGTGTTGAAAGAAAGAAAAGGTGAAACTTTCATTTTTCCTTTTGGGCCACCCCGCCTCGGTGGGATACGGCCGGTGTGTTGAAAGAAAGAATATGATAGAGTGGATAGAGGAGCAATGTGGCAGATGTTGCAAGTATATGGAATAGGTAGTAAGAGTTTTTATGAGGATAGTGAGGCTCAGGTTAGGGTGTGTAGGAGAGAGGGAGATTACTTCCCAGTAAAAGTAGGTCTTAGACAGGGATGTGTAAAGTCATCATGGTTGTTTAATATATTTATAGATGGGGTTGTAAAAGAAGTAAATCCTAGGGTGTTGGGAAGAGGAGTGGGATTAAATAATGGGGAATCAAGTACAAAATGGGAGTTGACACAGTTACTTTTTGCTGATGATACTGTGCTTATGGAAGATTCTAAAGAAAAGTTGCAAAGGTTAGTAGATGAGTTTGGGAGGGTGTGTAAAGGTAGAAAGTTGAAAGTGAACATAGATAAGAGTAAGGTGATGAGGGTATCAAATTATTTAGATAAAGAAAAATTGGATATCACATTGGAAAGACAAAGTATGGAAGAAGTGAATGTTTTCATATATTTGTGAGTTGACTTGTCAGCGGATGGATTTATGAAGGATGAGGTTAACCACAGAATTGATGAAGGAAAAAAGGTAAGTGGTGCATTGAGGTATCGGTGGAGACAAAAAAAAAAAGTTAACTGTTTAGGCAAAGAAGGGAATGTATGAAAGTATAGTGGTACCAACACTCTTAAATGGGTGTGAAGCTTGGGTTGTAAATGCTGCAGCAAAAAGGTGGCTGGAGGCAGTGGAGATGTCCTGTTTAAGGGCAATGTGTGGTGTAAATATAATGAAGAGAATTTGGAGTGTGGAAATTAGAAGGAGGTGTGGAATTACTAAAAGTATTACTCAGAGGGCTGAAGAGGGGTTGTTGAGGTGGTCTGGTCATTTAGAGAATAGATCAAAGTAGAATGACTTGGGGAGTGTATAAATCTGTAGGGGAAGGAAGGAGGCATAGGGGTCCTCCTCGAAAAGGTTGGAGGAGGGGGTAAAGGAGGTTTAGTGGGCGAGGGGCTTGGACTTCCAGCAAGCATGTGTGAAGTGTTAGATAGGAGTAAATGGAGACGAATGGTTTTTTGGACTTGATGGGCTGTTGGAGTGTGAGCAGGGTAATATTTAGTGAAGGGATTCAGGGAAACCAGTTATTATTGATTTAGCCAGACTTGAGCCCTGGAAATGGGAAATACAATGCCTGCACTTTAAAGGAGGGATCTGGGATATTGACAGTTTGGAGGGACTTTTAAACTGTTGTGTCTGAGTGCCTCTGCAAAGACAGTGATTATGTATGAGTGAGGTGAAAATGTTGAATGATGATGAAAGTATTTTCTTTTTGGGGATTGTCTTTCTTTTTGGGTTGCCCTGCCTCGGTGGGAGACGGCCAACTTGTTGGAGCAAAAAAAAAAAAAAATTACATTAAGAAGTCATGCTATCTTCTCTTTATTATACATTTACCTTATCCTTCTTGTAATCAACAAGGCAACTGGATTTCAGGATGATAGTGGAAACCTTATCAGGGGCAGCCTTCTCAAACATCTCTAACACACAGTTAGCCTAAAGATACAGATAAGATTCCATTATTATTTTGAAAAATATTTAATAAATACTTAATACTATATAATTAATTAGTAATTGTAACAAATAGTTCCCTAGAAGAATAAACTGTCTGGAGTCTTGATATGTAAGATAGATTCCTTGACAAACTATTCTTTTCATGAATCCCAAGAAAATTCCCTACCTGTGCAGATGTCAGTACAGGAGTGTTAGGGTGTAGCAGCAAAGCAGAAATCACAGCAACAAGACCTGGACACTGCAAATCAAGGCGTTCAATCACTGCATCTGGGCTAAGACTAGACACCTGGTAGTACTGCGTTGCTTGTTTCCACTCTGCCTCAGTATCACACCTGAAGATTACATCAATTAGATGAAAAGGAAGTAGTTAATTTTTTTTTTTTCAACAAGTCGGCCGTCTCCCATCGAGGCAGGATGACCCAAAAAAGAAAGAAAATCCCCCAAAAGAAAATACTTTCATCATCATTCAACACTTTCACCTCACTCACACATAATCACTATTTTTGCAGAGGTGCTCAGAACACAACAGTTTAGAAGCACATACGTATAAAGATACACAACATATCCCTCCAAACTGCTATAATCATTCTACCTTGGTGGAAGATTTCTGGTGGAATTAAACAGCAACTATACTGTTATTAGAGAGAGCAAGTCCTTCAAAAATGGCAATATGTTAAAAAACAATTATGTACACATGGTAAACATAGTTGAATCTCATTTTCCCGAACTTTCTTATGCCAAAAATTCACAATACTGAACTGAACGTTTCAAAATGAGTAAGTCATACTATTAACCATACCATGGGTGGGGTTAGAACCCGCGATCAGAGAGTCAAGTCATGTTATTCTCTTAGAACCCATAAAAAATAAGTAAGAATAAGTTTTCCTAAAAGTTGAATCTGGAGATGGGCTGCCAAATTCTGGTCCAGTATTGGAAAACACTTGTGTTCTACCCTTTACCTCCTCAATGCTCAGAATACCCTGGGGTCAGGGTGTATGTATTTGCCTATTCCTATATGCCTGTACTTAATAGAGCCCAGTCTTGGATGCAACAATGCATTAAAAGGTTTCCCTGTTACCAGTATTATAATTTTTATTTGTCACCTTATGCCAATGTTTACCTGTCATTAATGAGATGCAGTATTTAAACAGCATGACTTCTTACTGGAAAAAAAAAAGTCTCACTTTTTCTCTATTCACTGAAGTGCTTTTACAACGCAACAAGCGTACCATTTAAGTTAAACACTCACAAATGCAATAAATCAGTACATCTTTATTACAACAATAAGAATCTGAATGAATACCAAAAACACCAAGAAGAAAATAAACAGACAGGGCAATAACACTGAGAGAAAGTCATGTAATTCACATCTAGTGATGACTGACAGTGAAGACATATTAAACATACTAAAGTGATAATTTCCCCAGTATACAATAATCAGTCAAGTTACTATCCATTTTGTTGGTATTATAGAGACTAAAACAGACCTCCAAATTAAGGGGATGCACAAGAGCTTCAGAACCTTGCATTTATCTACAGTGAACTGCATCTGCCACTTTTCTGACTAAATTCCTGGTCAGAAAAGTGGCAGATGCAGTTCAATGTAGATAAATGCAAGGTTCTGAAGCTCGGGAGTGTCCATAACCCTAGCACTTATAAGTTAAATATCGTAGAACTTAGCCATACAGATTGCGAAAAGGACTTGGGGTTATGGTAATCAGCAACCTTAGATCAAGACAGCAATGCCTAAGCGTATGTCATAAGGCAAACAGATTACTGGGATTCACATCAAGAAGTGTAAGCAACAGAAGTCCCACGGTTATATTACAGCTTTATACATCATTAGAAAGGCCTCACCTAGATTATGCAGCTCAGTTCTGGTTTCCATATAACATTCAGCGTAGAATGACTAAATTAATACATAGCATTAAAAATCTTCCATGTGAAGAAAGGTTGAAGACCCTTAAATTACATTCACTTGTAAGACGAAGAATGAGGGGAGACGTGATCAAAGAGTATAAGTGGAAGATGGGTATTAACAAAGGGGATATAAATAAGGTTTTGAGGATATCCCTCCAAGAAAGAACCCACAATAATGGATTCAAATTACATAAGTTTAGATTCAGAAAGGATATAGGAAAGTACTGGTTTGGTAATAAGGTAGTTGATGAGTGGAACGGTCTGCCTAGTAGGGTTATCAAACCTAAAACCTTGGGTAGTTTCAAATTTAGGTTGGATAAATACACGAGTGAGAGGGGTTGGATTTGAGAGGGACTTGCACAAGAGTAAATAGAATTGTCAAAGCTTTTTGCTTGGGTAGCGTTTATTCTGTTAGTGGGTTGGAGTTGTGAGGGACCTGCCTAGTATGGGCCAACGGGCCTACTGCAATGTTCCTCCTTTCTTATGTTATGTTCTTATAATGCATATGCATTGTACACAGATAAATAAGCTAACTACTGAAGACTTACTGGGCATAATAATCCCCAAGTAATGCAGAGGAGTCCTGCAGTAGAGAATAGAGATCTTCTTCAGCTTCCTGAACTTGAGGAATCTCATGGTGGAGAGCTGTGGTTAGGACCAAGTGAGCCTCCAAGAGAAGGTGTAGGTAGGTGGATGGGGAGGCAGACCTGTGACTGCGACCTACTCGTACCATCTCCTTGTACAGGCTAGCAGCACTTGGCAAATGAAGGGAGTAGACCGTGTGTGATTTGTCTCCACCTCTGAAAGGGAAATGAATTACTAAGAGATCATCACATAGGGGTTCTCATGATAATGTAATATTAGAAAAAATCTTTAAAACATGTGGAAAAACTAATCTGTTAAAAAACTGCCACCAGAAAATTACGAAGCTCTCACATTTAAATCCTTATCATATTAAAATAAAAAAGGTAGTAGGCAGGTAGACAGCAACCACCCAGGGAGGTACTACCATCCAGCCAAGTGAGTGTGAAATAGAAACCTTAAACTGTTTTACATGATGGTAGGATTGCTAGTGTTTTTTTTTTCTGTCACATAAACATGCAAGATTTCAGGTATGTCTTGCTATTTCTACTTACACTTAGGTCACACTACACATGCATGTATAAGCATATATATACACATCCCTCTGGGTTTCTTCTATTTTCTTACTAGTTCTTGCTCTTGTTTATTTCCTCTTATCTTCATGGGGAAGTGAAACAGAATTCTTCCTCCATAAGCTATGCATGTTGTAAGAGGCGAATAAAATGCTGGGAGCGAGGGGCTAGTAACCCCTTCTCCTATATACATTACTAAATTTAAAGAGATAAAATTTTGTTTTTCTTCTTAGGTCACCCTGCCTTGGTGGGATATGGCTGGTTTACTAAAAAAAAAAAGTAAGTAAAAAATTTACACTAACCCAAATCTGGAGTCAAAGCAGAACTTATGGGAATAACACACAACATATACCTGCACATCCATTATATTTACAGAATGTCTTAATCCATGAGATTCAATGCAAAAAGGGGCCTCTAAATGTAGAATAAATTTCCCACAAAATATTTTTAACTCATTTAATTTTTTGACTGTCCATCATGTAGAACCAAATAACTAACGCCAGGGTCTGTCATGCAAATCTACATCATGAGCTCATCTCATTCAGATAAGCTGTGAGTGTTAAATTTTGGCTTAGATATAAGAAACTGGGTTTATGCATTGAGTGTGCACAAGACAAAAATAATCCTACCTCGTGTGATCCCTGATGGTTAAAAATAGTGACTTTGAGGGGTTTTCAGGCTGATTTTTGTAGTTTTATTAGCTGTTTCTTAGTATAATTTGATAGAATGGAAGACATTCTACTGAAGTGGAGAAGATTTTAGTTGGTTCCAGGACCAGTAGTAGCTTTCAACCAGCCTCAAAATGGCAGAAATGTTCAATTTTTGCCAAATATTCCTGAGGATGGGTAAAGCCTTCCCTACACCACCAGTCTGTTTTATGCATTTTTACTAGGTCTGATTCAATTACTGGGACACTGGAAACCATGACAAATTATTCCTCATTATATTTTATTATCTGAGAAATAGGGTAAATCTCATTTTTTTTGTGTGATGATGTACGTATTCAAAATAGAAGGCAAGTGTAATATAGAAAAGGCTTGGGGATATTATTACTGCACTGAGAGAATGTTGTTTTAGTGCCTCGAATGTTTACAGTGGTTATTTTGGACTCTGTTTTTAACCCTTTGACTATTGCAACCCCGAATCCTGAAGTGTCTCCTGGTGTCGCAAAAAAAAAAAAAAAAAAAAAAAAAAAAAAAAAAAAAAAAAAAAAAAAAAAAAAGTCTTACGAAATGATAGAGAATCTTTCCCGATGACAATGACACCAAAAACTATGAGATTTGATGGAAAACTTATGGAATTACGCTCTTGAAAAGTTAGCAACCTCGGCAACATTTACTCATCGGTGATTTCGCCCACTTTGAGCCCTATTTTCGGCCAATTTCATTGTTCCAGTCCACCAAACTCATAGCTATATCTTTAGAACTCCATTTGTTCTATCGATTGAGTAGAAGAAACTGTCCATTTACCGATTTCAACTACCCAATAAAGTGGTCAGAAATTGGAAATTTGATCAATTTCATGCAAATTAAAAAATATGTCAATTTGAAAATAGGGTCCAGAATGAACAATGCAGACATTCCAGGCACTAAAATAACATTTTCTCTGTTCATCAGTCACATCTCCCAGCCCCTGTTATAATACTCTTGCTTTCTATTTTGAATTTTTATTCACACAAAAAATAGAATATTTACTGTTATGCAGACTACTGCAATATTGTAATAACTGTATAAATAATGTCAACCCATTCGTGACTGCGCATCAGAATGGCTAGTTGGACATTTATTGGACAATGACATCATTTATTTACTCCTGAACACCGGCAAAAATCAAACATTTCTGCCACTTTGAGCTCCATTTCAAGATTCATTTCATAGCAAAAAAAAAAAAAAAAAAATCAAAATCACTTCTATTTCTATAATATGTTTTCCATTCTATCAAACGAGACCAAGAAAACAAGAATACAACTATAAATACCATATGAAAATACACCTCAAATTTGGCATTTTAATCCAAAAATACAGTTTTTTTTTTTCTCATTATGCACTACGTACTGCAGGATTTTTTTTTACAGTATACAGTGGATCCCCGGTTTACGATCAGCTCCCAAATGCAACCAATTATGTAAGTGTATTTATGTAAGTGCGTTTGTATATGTATGTTTGGGGGTCTGAAATGGATTAATCTAATTCACAATATTCCTTATGGGAACAAATTCGGTCAGTACTGGCACCTGAACATACTTCTGGAGTAAAATAATATCGAAAACCAGGGGTCCACTGTACTGCGCACAGACCACACAGACCCATTCTCTCACATGTGGGCCTACCAGCTTTCTCCTGCTTGATTTGAAGCCTGGTGGTTAACGCTCTCGCTTCACACGGTGAGGGCCTGGGTTCGATTCCCAGCCAGAGTAGAAACATTGGACGTGTTTCTTTCCACCTGTTGTCTATGTTCCCCATCAGCAAAATGGGTACCTGGGTGTTAGTCGACTGGTGTGGGTCGCATCCTGGGACACTGACCTAAGGAGGCCTGGTCACAGACCGGGCCGCGGGGGCGTTGACCCCCGGAACTCTCTCCAGATAAACTATATGTCAAACACACTGGCTCGTAAGACGTACATATATGACCAAAACAGTCAAAGGGTTAAACTGGAATTTTAATTTTGTGTAAAATTGGCCAAATTAAAAAATTCTGTCCACTTTATATGGTAGTTTTGATAAATGAATGGGCAGTTTCTTGTACTCAGTTGATAGAACAGAAGGGATACTAGCAAAATATCTAAGAATTTGGTCAAATTGAGCAATGAAATTGGCTTAATTAAAATTGGCTTCAAAGTAAGCAAAATTGCTGATGAATAAAATGCACCTAGACTGCTAACTTTGCACCTGCATAATTCCACAAGTTTTCCATCTTTTTTAATTTTTTTCCAACAAGTCGGTGGTCTCCCACCAAGGTAGGGTGACCAAAAATAAAGAAAATCCCCAAAAAGAAAATACTTTCATCATTCAACACTTTCACTTCACTCACACATAATCACTGTCTTTGCAGAGGCACCCATATATATAACATACCCCTCCAAACTGTCAATATCCTAAACTCTTCCTTTAAAGTGCAGGCATTGTACTTCCCATTTCCAGTACTCAAGTCCAGCTATATAAAAATAACCAGTTTCCTTGAATCCCTTCACTAAATATTACCCTGCTCACACTCCAACAGCTCGTCAGGTCCCAAAAACCATCATATTTTTGTATTTTTGGGGTCATTACCTTCAGGAAAAGATTCTCTACCATTTCAGAAGAATTTCTTTTAAATGTGGACACTAAGCACTTTTAATTTTTGGGTCTGGACAGTGTAAGGGTTAACTACTGTATATACAGTATTCTTGAGTTTAAATCCCACTATCATTCCACCATATCACATAAATCTCCTCAGCTAAAGTGACTATCATTCCAGATGAAGAGGTCATGTGATATGGTGCAATGTTAATGGAACCAAGTCTGTTATTAATGGCTTAACTATCATACACTGTACTTTTACTATACACAGTTTCTATATACAGTTCTCACACATTCCAGTTATCGGATGATTCGGTTTTAGAACTGTTATTTGTGTGAAATTTTGTTCCAGATATCAGACCTTGTTCTGGAAATTGGACGTATCAGACGTTGCCACTCTGCGTCTCAGTCTGCCTCTGTCAGTGGTCGAGTGAGCATTACTTCATGTGTTCCAAAACATTTCATAATAATTCATTGTTTTTTGTGTTTGTTTATTCATTGTGACTGTGAAATAAGCCACCATGGGCCCAAAGAAAGCTCCTAGTGCCAGCCCTTTGATAAAGAAGGCGACAAACACTGACAACAATGCCGCCCTCTGCCAGCATCTCCTCCAAGGCAAGTGTAAATATTTATTACAGTATTTATTACAGTATTTATAGAATTGATGAGGGAAAAAAGGCGAGTGGTGCGTTGAGGTACATGTGGAGTCAAAAAACGTTATCTATGGAGGCAAAGAAGGGAACGTATGAAAGTATAGTAGTACCAACACTCTTATATGGATGTGAAGCTTGGGTGGTAAATGCAGCAGCGAGGAGACGGTTGGAGGCAGTAGAGATGTCCTGTCTAAGGGCAATGTGTGGTGTAAATATTATGCAGAAAATTCGGAGTGTGGATATTAGGAGAAGGTGTGGAGTTAATAAAAGCATTAGTCAGAGGGCAGAAGAGGGGTTGTTGAGGTGGTTTGGTCATTTAGAGAGAATGGATCAAAGTAGAATGACAGGGGAAAGCACATAAATCTATAGGGGAAGGAAGGAGGGGTAGGGGTCGTCCTCAAAAGGGGTTGGAAAGAGGGGGTAAGGAGGTTTTGTGGCAAGGGGCTTGGACTTCCAGCAAGGTGCTTTGAGCGTGTTAGATAGGAGTGAATGGAGACGAATGTTTTTATTTATTTTTTTTATTTATTTATTTAAAATTTTTGAGCACACTTACAGAGGTACAAAAAAAAAAATACAGAAAAAGAGCAGCATGCCAAAGCCACTTATACTATGCATAGCATTACGGGCTGGCTTAAAATTAACTTAAGATTAACTAAGCAATGATGAAATCAGTGAAAAACATTAATGTAACTGATTTACTTTTAAAGCACAAGTGAGTATTACAAAGACAGGTCATATGGTTGCATGCATTGTTGTAAATTCAGTAGAATGGAGTATTCTGTTGGGTTTAGTGAATTTAAAAATAATAAAGTTAGATTGGGTTTTAGGTTTAACATTTATGTGATATAATTGTGAGAAACATTTAAGATATACAATTTATAAGGTTCAGTTATTCAGTATTTATTTGGTTTTGGGTGAGTAAGTGATCTTTGAGAAGAGACTTGAATTTATAAAAGGTAGTGTTTTTTTATATTTACAGGTAAGGGAATTCCAGATTTTAGGGCCTTTATGTGCATTGAGTTTTTGCATAGCGTGAGGGGGGACACGAGGAATATCAAGAGTGATTTTGTGCCTTGTGTTATGGTCATGTGTTCTGTTGAGGTTGGCAAGGAGATGTTTGAGGGGGGGGTTTTAATATCAGAGTTGATTTGTTCTATGTATGTAATAGGTGCAGTAATAAGTATGGATGTTTTGTATGGTGAGTAGGTTGAGTGTATTGAATTTTTGGTGGAGTGTGCTGCCTGTAGTGAGAATTTGTTATCATTCTAACTGCAGCCTTTTGTTGGGTAATTAGTGGTCTGAGATGGTTACTTGTTGTTGAGCCCATGCACAAATTCCATAGGTGAGATAGGGGTAAATAAGAGAGTGATATGGGGCCCAGGAGGGCTGACTGTGGAGCATAGTTACCGTATCTTCGATAGTATGCCTACAGTCTTGGAAATTTTTTAGAAATTTGTTGTATATGTGTATGAAATTTGAGTCTATTATCAAGGTGGATTCCTAAGTTTTTCCCTCTGTTAGCTTTGTGATAGGTGATCCGTTTATCATTATGTTAAGAGGGACATCTGTAGCTCTGTTACCAAAAACTGAATGAAGTAGGTTTTGTCAATGTTTAGTGTAAGTTTGTTAGTACTCATCCAGGTAGATATTTTCTGTAATTCGGTATTTACAGTATTTGGGTAGCGTTGACTGGGGTCGGGTGGGAGAAGACGTTTGTTGTGTCATCAGCAAATAGTGTGGGTTTGAGTAATTGAGAAGCATTTGGTAGGTATTTATGTATAGGAGAAAGAGAAGAGGGCCAAGGACACTTCCCCGTGGGACACCAACTGTAATTTGGGTTTTGCAGAAGAGTTTGCCCCCTTTGCGTACACATATTGGCTTCTGTTGCTGAGGTATGACTTGAGGTAGTTGAGGGAGTGCCCTCTTATAAACCCTAGTGTGATAATTTACGTGGAGCAAGTCATGGTCAACTGTATCAAAAGCTTTAGTAAGTCAATGAAGATCCCCATGGGACTTCTTTTTTCTTTTTGCAGTGTATATATGTTCTAGCATGTGTATAATAGCATCATTAGTATTTTTATTAGGCCTGAATCCAAATTGGCAGGGGTTGAGTATGTTTTGGGAGATAGGTAGGAGTAGATTCGTTTATGAATTAATTTTTTGAAGATTTTTGAGAGAGGGTGTAAGTTGGATATTGGCCTATAGTTATTCAACTCTGTTTGGTCTCCTCCTTTGTGGATCGGGGGGGGACCCTTGCTATTTGAGTACTGTAGGGAAGGTGGAGGATTCAATGGATTTGTTAAAGAGTGTTGCAATGATTGGTGATAGCACTTGTGACCCCTTTTTGTATATAAAGGGTGGTAAGGGATTTAAATCTCCTGCCTTGTTTTTTTTGTGCGTTGATAATAAGGGAGACTTCGTATGGGTTAGTCGGAGCTAGGAACAGTGTGTTGGGTAGTTGCCGGTGAGGTAGTCATTTGGTGGGGTATTGAGCTTGGGATTTTATTGGCAGGTTTTGTCCTATAGTGGAGAAGAAATCATTGAGTCTGTTTGCTGTTTCTGTTGGTGGGGGGTTGGGGTTCATCTGATTTTGCTAATTTTATTTCGCTATTTCGTGATATCTTTTTGTTCCCAGAATTTTGATAGGGTTTTCCCGGTCTTTTTTATTTCACCTCGTAAGTTGGATAATCTGTTCTCATAATACAATTTTTTTGCCCTTCTTATCAGGCTGGTTAGGATTGACGAGTAACGTTTTGTTTGGTCTCTGGTTATGTGACCCATTTCTGTACTGTTTTTCATATTGGTGTTTTGTATTTATGGATTTGAGAATGTGGGTGTTAGCCAGGGACTGTTCAGTCTCTTAGCTGTCATCTGCTTAGTTTTTTTTAGGGCAGTGCTTGTTATTAGAGGTATTGAGTCTTTTTTAAAAAAATTATTAATACATTCGTCATATCTGTATTGATTTCTAGCTCGTGTCCCAAATCATGTTTGCTAATGCTGTTGTGAAGTTATTAATGGCTGCCTCATTGTGAAGTCTGAGGTGACTTTAGTAGTGTCTTGGGGTAATTTACCAAGAGTTGTTATGGGGAAAAGTAGGGTAGGTGGTTGTGGTATTATCTGAAATTTTATGCCTGATTTTAAAGGGGATATGGTGTTGGTCCAGATGTGGTCAAGTAGGGAAACACTAGTCTCTGTAACTCTTGTAGGTTTTGTTACTGTTGGTAGCAACATACAGTTACTCATTGTGTTTGTGAATTCAGTAACGTGTGGGTCCTGGTCTTGCAGGAGATTTATATTGAAGTCACCTGAGAGTAGTAAGTGATCTTTGTTCATGCGTGCATCAGTTATCATACTTCCTAGGTTTTGACTAAATTGGCTAATGTTTGACGATCTGTTGGAGTGTGAGCAGGGTAATATTTAGTGAAGGGATTCAGGGAAACCGGTTATTTTCATATAGTCGGACTTGATTTCCTGGAATGGGGAAGTACAATGCCTGCACTTTTAAAGGGGGGGTTTTGGGGGATATTGGCATTTTGGAGGGTTTATGTTGTGTATCTTTATACGTATATGCTTCTAAGCTGTTGTATTCTGAGCACCTCTGCAAAAGCAGTGATAATGTGTGAGTGTGGTGAAAGTGTTGAATGATGATGAAAGTATTTTCTTTTTGGGGATTTTCTTTCTTTTTTGGGTCACCCTGCCTCGGTGGGAGACGGCCGACTTGTTGAAAAAAAAAAAAAAATTATAAAGTGTAAATATTTCTGATTTATAAATTAACCCTTAAACGGTCCAAATGTATATATACGTTCACTCGCGTAGCGCCCCAAATTTTTTGAGGAAAAAAAAAAAATTTTTCTTTTAAAAGGAAAAAAGAGCATATGGTACCCAGGCATCCCCAATTATTTTAATATGGCACATAGTGAGTGTGCACACCCATTCTCTCATGTCTAGGTGACTCAGGCTTATTGTGGCAATGTTGAATGAATGACAAAGAAAACGTATATATACGTTTGGGGCGCTACGCGCATGAACGTATATATACGTTTGGACCGTTTAAGGGTTAAAGTGTAAATATTTCTTATTTATAAATTACGTACATTGTTTCAGCGTGAACAGTGGTGGTGGCCTCTGATGCCGCCACCACCACCACTAATATGTACGGCTGATGCTGTCAGTGGCCCTTATAAACCCAACAACAAACACCACCACTAGTCACATGCGTAATGACATATTTTATTCATTCTAGAGTGTATATCATGTTTCTATGTTTTTAATATTGTTCATTATGTCATATTAGATGAACTGTGATAGATAAATAAGCCGCAGAGTTGATATTACCTTGTCATATTTAAGTATTTTGTCCTGTCTCCAAACAAACTCTCCTCCCCTCTCCCAACAGGAGTCCTCAATAAAGGTATGTAATAGTGATTTAAATGTTCATTTATCCATTTCATTAGTGCTTTATATTTATTTCTCATTGTTTTCTGTATGTAAAACTATAGTTATTCTTTAAAAAATTATTTCTTTTTGTGAATATTTTTGGGTGACTGGAACGGATTAATTGTATTTACATTATTTCTTATGGGAAATATTACTTCGGTTTCACACTTTTCGGATTTCAGACCAACTTCTGGAACGGATTAAGTTTGAAAACTGAGGTTCCACTGTATATATTTTCACAAAATATTGAGTGGCCAATATGATCTCTGCATGTGTCAAGCATTCAGCCAAGTCCCAATGGGATGACTCAGTCTGTAGTAAAACAAAGAGCAAGACAGACACTTTATGAAAACCTTTTGCTTGCTTTTGTTTTTGTTTTGCAACTCATTCATACTTTATATCTCTTATGGTCTTAATTCCATTCTGTATATTTCTATACATTCTGAATAGCAAATAGTGCAGATTTATAAGGCATGGTATAAATTTTTTTGTGTAACAGGCTGTGCTGGTATCTACAAAACAAAACAAATAATGTTTACAACAATAAATTATATCTTATAATTCAGAGGGCTGAGGAGGGGTTAAGATGGTCTGATGGATTTAGAGAGAATGAAGCACAACAGGATGACTAAGATGTATAAATCAGGGATGAGAGGAGGAATAGGCATTGTCCAAGGAAGGGTTTATGGCAGAGAGCAAAGGAGGTTTTGTGCTAGGGGCTGGAGCATCTAGCAAGCTTATGTGAGCATGTTAGATCAGAGTGAGTAAAGGCAAGTAGTTTTCATGGCTTGACATGCTGTTGGAGTGTCAGCAAAACAACACTTATGAAGGGATTCAGGGAAACCAGTTAGCAGGACTTGATTCCTGGTGATGGGAAGTACAGTGTTTGCACCCTGAAGGAGTGGTGGGGATATTGCAGTTTGGAAAGTCGTCTGAATTGTGAGGCCTGCACATTTCTGGCAGGACACCTATTGAACAAATGATGATGAACACTTCTTTTTTATCTGGGTCATCCTACCTAGGAAGATGGCCAGAGTAAAAAAAAAAAAAATCAATAAATTATAAAAAATATTTATGAGTATTTGAAAAATCTTTGTTTCTAAAAAAAGATCAATACAACATACAAATACTGTAACACATTTTATAAATTTCTCTCTCTTTCTTTTTTAATTACTGTCTATCTCCCACCAAAATCAAGAATTGAACACTACAATAAAAAGAGAAAAATGCATTAGGTTTACTCATTGTTTGCAGCGATGAGGGCAAGACAGGAGTCAGTGAGTGTGAGTGTCTCAACGTTGAGGAAGGGTCGCAACCCCACAAGGCACACAGTCTCTTCCCAATGTGGAGGTACCTTTTAAAATAAATCAGTTCATATATATATTACAAGCCAACCAGAACAATGAAATGTTTTGTAAGGGTCCTGGAGTTTTGCAGAGTAGGAGGTAAAAAAAATGTTGAGGTAATGATAGAAGGTAAATATATGGCATAGGTCAACCTACATTATGGGTCACCCTACATTAAGAGTTACCGGGATTAGACGACTAAGTGTTTGCAGTATATGTAGAAATGTTAACTACCTAATAAAATTCTATTTTCTTTTTAACAAGTAGGCTGTCTCCCACCAAGGCAGGGTGACCCAAAAAAGAAAGAAAATCCCCAACACTTTCACCTCACTTTCATCATTCAACACTTTCACCTCACTCACACATAATCACTGTTTTTGCAGAGGTGCTCAGAATACAATGGTTCATAAGCATATACATATAAAGATACACAACATATCCTTCCAAACTGCCAGTATCCCAAACCCCTCCTTTAAAGTGCAGGCATTGTACTTCCCATTTCCAGGACTCAAGTCTGGCTACATAAAAATAACCGGATTCCCTGAATCCCTTCACTAAATATTACCCTGCTCACACTCCAACAGCTCGTCATGTCCCAAATATCATTCGTCTCCATTCACTCCTATCTAATACGCTTACGCATGCTTGCTGGAAGTCCAAGCCCCTTGCCCACAAACCTCCTTTACCCCCTCCCTCCAACCTATTCAAGGACGACCCCTACCACGCCTTCCTTCCCCTACAGATTTATACGCTCTCCATGTCATTCTACTTTGATCCATTCTCTCTAAATGACCAAACCACCTCAACAACCCCTCTTCAGCCCTCTAACTAATACTTTTATTAACTCCACACCTTCTCCTAATTTCCACACTCCGAATTTTCTGCATTATATTCATACCACATATTGCCCTTAGACAGGACATCTCCACTGCCTCCAGCAGCCTCCTCGCTGCAGCATTTACAACCCAAGCTTCACACCCATATAAGAGTGTTGGTACTACTATACTTTCATACTTTTCATTCATGCAATCCCGGTAAAATACTATACTGTTTATGTACTTATTAGAACAGAGATGGGACTGTTCATTTAATAATGAACTAAACCATGAAAATCATTTTGCATATTTGCAACAAATAAGAGTTTATAACAGAAAATACTCACAATCATGTTAAGATCCTCTGGAAGATGGGAGACGACAATATGTGGGTGAGGCCGAAGAGTATATGTTTCAAGGCCAGTAAGAGTTAACGCATGTAGAAGTGATGGTTCCAGTTCCACAGAGTACACAGGAGCAGTATAAGAGAACACACCTCCGCGTACCACACTGTTCTCTAAAATAAAAGTAAATTGCCATACAAATTCATTACAAATGTATATAAAATTTAACCCTTAAACTGTCCAAACGTAGATCTACATTCGCTCGCATAGCACTCCAAACGTAGATCTACATTTTTTACATGCTTTCAAATGGAGAAAATCAAGGTCAGAGCACTACACGTATAAACGTAGATCTACGTTTGGACAGTTTAAGGGTTAAAAATTTACTTTTTAAGTAATGAGGTTCACGAGAAAGAGGTCAGATAATACCTGAGAAATGGGAAGCAACTGTGAGGTACAATCCAAGGAAGAAGAGGATAGCTCTAATTTCTTGAACAGAATCCCTCATGATAAATGCTAAATCTTTTGAAGCACATTCATTGCTGCAATGCAAAGAAAAATTACCATAGTTACAAAAGAATAGAAGGTATAGGACAAAACATCATGGGAGATAGGATAGAAATGTAATAATTAGATACTGCACAATACAAAAAAGAAGTTTCTGATAAAAACTTATAAACAACATTTCCATTAAAAAATAGCAGTTTCAAAGAGGAATGCAGAAGAATAAGCACAGAAGTGTGTGGAAAGAGAGGCTAAAAATAGAGATGACAAACACCCATGTCACATTTGAGTTACTCATTGTTTCATAACCAAGCAATTGGAAATTGTTAACCCTTAAATGGTTCAAACGTATATATACGTTTTTTCAACATCTGAAAGTATGTAAAAAAAATGTAGATCTTCTGTTTTGTTTTACATTTGAAAATGTGTAAAAAAACTTTTATCTACATTTTTTTTTTGTTTTACTTGAAAATATGTAAAAAAGTAGATCTACTTTTGTAGCACTATGAATTTGAACGTCGATTTGTTTGGACCGTTTAAGGGTTAGAGAGTCCTGGAAGAAGCATAAGAATCTCCGAACAATATACAGTAAAGTTCTCTCCATTTTCCAACCCACCATGGTGACCAAATAACCATTAAAGGGTCTGGTAACAGTCAAAGGACCAAATAGGTGTATATCCTGTAATACCCAAGTGACTCCTAGCCAGAAACTGACTAGCTGACTGAATCAGTGGCACACATTGCACATCTATCCACTAACTATGGCATTGTGTTGCCTACAAACAAGCTGCAGCTTTATGAGTAAGCTCACCTAGGCTAGCAGAAGCAAGGATTATATGGGTCTCCATGCACAATCAACACACAAAGGCAGCTCTTAATCTCAACAACCACTACCTTACTGGTAGGAAAAACCTTAGCAAGTATGGCCCATGGCGCTTACAGTGGACCCCCGCCTTACGATATTAATCCGTTCCTGAGAGCTCATTGTAAGCCGAAATTATCGTTAGCCGAATTAATTTTCCCCACAAGAAATAATGGAAATCAAATTAATCTGTTCCTGACACCCCAAAGTATGAAAAATTTGTTCTTATCAGATGAAATATTAATTTTAACCCTTTCAGGGTCGCCAGGACCTCTCTGAGACTTGTTCTCAGGGTCGCCCAAATTAAAAAAAAAAAAAAATTCTTATAAAAAGATAGAGAATCTTTTCCCGATCATAATGACACCAAAAGTATGAAATTTGATGGAAAACTTACAGAATTATGCTCTCGCAAAGTTAGCGGTCTCGACGATGTTCACGAATCGGCGATTTTGCCCACTTTGAGCTCTATTTTCGACCAATTACAGTGAACTAGTCGACAAATATCATAACTATTTCGCTAGAACTCCATTTTTTCTATCGAATGAGTACAAGAAACCAGCCATTTACCAATTTCAACTATCCAATACAGTGGTCAGAATTTAGCAACTTTGTCAATTTCACACAAACTTCAAAAGATGCCAATTTCCGAATACGGTCCAGAATAAACAAGAAAGACATTCCTGTTTGTTAGTCACATCCCCAGGCCCCTCTTATATTTCTTTGGCTTTCCACTTTGAATTTTTATTCTTACAAAAAATAGAAGATTTACTGTTATGCAGACTACTGCATTAGTGTAGAAATGGTATAAATATATCAGCACACTCGTGAAAGAATATTAGACTCACCAGTTGATGTGTATTGGACGCTTGGCATGATTTGTTTACTTTTGAACTTTGGTAAAAATCGAACATTTTTGCTACTTTGAGCTCAATTTCAAAGTACTTTTCATTGTAAAACCAGTCAAAATCACCTCAATTTCTGTAACATGTCTTCCATTCTATAAAATGAGACCAGGAAAACTAGAATACAACCATAAATACCATACGAAAATGCAGTGCAAAGTTGCTGTTTTAATCCAAAAACACTGTCAAAGTTTTTTTTTTCTCATTACGCACTGTGTGCTGCAGGATTTTTTTTATACTGCGCACACTGACCACATAGACCCATTCTTTCATATGTAGGCCTACCAGCTTTCTCTCACTAGATTTGAGGGTGCTAGAATTTAGGCGTACTAGTACGTCAAAAACCCTGGGGCGTAAGCCGTACTAGAATAGAATACATGACACTTACCTTTATTGAAGATCTGGTGATGATTGATGGGATGGGAGGAGGGGAGAGTGTGGAAGTTATTATTTAGAAGGGAAATCCCCTTCCATTAAGACTTGAGGTAGCAAGTCCTTTTCTGCTGTTACTTCCCTTCTTCCTTCAATGCCACTAGGACCAGCTTGAGAGTCACTGGACCTCTGTCACACAACAAATCTGTCCATAGAGCTCTGTACCTCCCGTTTCTTTAAGACTTTCCTAAAATGGGCCATAACATTGTCATTGCAGTAGCTATCAGGGTGATTTTCATCCATAAAAGTTTGCAGTTGAACCCACTTTGCACACATATCCTTAATCTCTTTTTTCAATTGCATACTAATTCTCACCCTTTTTACCACAGGGATGGCACTAGCTTTCTTGGGGTCCATGGTGACTTATTTTGCAGTTACAAGCACTAAAAACACTGGGATAATGTGAAATGTACCGAATGTATGTGTAGATGCGACCACACTGGCTGGCTTGTAAACACTGGCGCTGAGGCCACATGTGGGACACGTCCCGGACGAATCACATAAGGCGAGTTTTTTATAGTGAGGCGTGGCAAAATTTTTGCATTCAAATGCTTCGTATGGCGGATTTAACGTAACGCGATGTGTTCGTAAGGCGGGGGTCCACTGTATAAAGTTTGTAATCCTCTCACCATAAACAGGCAACTGACCCCTAGAGAAGTGTGGGAAGGGTGAAAGTAAAATTACTTTCTCAAGGTATTATCTAGACACCAACTGGTAAAAAAAAAAAAAATGCAAAACCACAAAGTACTCATACCAGGAATGCATAAAAAACCCAAATTTCTCTTAAAATACTGTATATGAAAGAACTGAAGCAAAACAAATATAAAGTATAGTATCATCTTAAATGTTCTTACTATAGGGGTCCTCAAAGAGAGTGACATGATACAACTGGCCAACATGTGGAGTTGTAAGGAAGATAGATGCCCCAACTTTCTGCGGTGAGCCTGAGGGAAGCAGTGGATGTGACAGTCGCCGTGGAGTTGAAGCAGTTCCTTCTGAGAAAGTATGGTACAAAGATGAACGTCAAATTTATTATACTGTATCTATGTAATAAAAATAGAATTAAAATTATGGTCAAGGTCATACTTCCACAAAAACTGTACTACAAGAAACATTAAAGACTTCTGGTACTTATCTATTTGTTTACATATAGGTTAAATATTCAACTCAAGAGATTAACACTGCAACCTCAAAAATTGAGCATGCAATGTCATATTAGCAGAAATCCCATAATAAATGATTGTGACATTTCCAAGGAATGAATGAACCTTGATCTTGTGATGTATAATTCAGTAATCGTAGTGGCTATAATAGGTAATGCAGTCTTATCCCAGGCAATGTTAGCAGGCCCTTCAACTGTGATATCAGCTGCAAGTGTTTCTTTTTTAGTTTTTCTCTCACCAGTTGTAATGTCTGTAACCAAATCTATCTCTTGGCCCTCTAAGCCAAGCCAATGAATTAGAAAAACCATAATAAACTTACAACTTATGTCACAATTGGGAAGTCTGTTAACATGGCCTGGAATAAAGTTGCATTTCTTACTGTAACCAGTATGGTCCTGTTTACCTGGAGTTTACCTGGAGAGAGTTCCGGGGGTCAACGCCCCCACGGCCCGGTCTGTGACCAGGCCTCCTGGTGGATCAGAGCCTGATCAACCAGGCTGTTGCTGCTGGCTGCACGCAAACCAACGTACGAGCCACAGCCCGGCTGATCAGGAACTGACTTTAGGTGCTTGTCCAGTGCCAGCTTGAAGACTGCCAGGGGTCTGTTGGTAATCCCCCTTATGTATGCTGGGAGGCAGTTGAACAGTCTCGGGCCCCTGACACTTATTGTATGGTCTCTTAACGTGCTAGTGACACCCCTGCTTTTCATTGGGGGGATGGTGCATCGTCTGCCAAGTCTTTTGCTTTCGTAGTGAGTGATTTTCGTGTGCAAGTTCGGTACTAGTCCCTCTAGGATTTTCCAGGTGTATATAATCATGTATCTCTCCCTCCTGCGTTCCAGGGGAAAACAGTTTAGGAACCCCAAGCGCTCCCAGTAATTGAGGTGTTTTATCTCCGTTATGCGCGCCGTGAAAGTTCTCTGTACATTTTCTAGGTCGGCAATTTCACCTGCCTTGAAAGGTGCTGTTAGTGTGTAGCAATATTCCAGCCTAGATAGAACAAGTGACCTGAAGAGTGTCATCATGGCTTGGCCTCCCTAGTTCTGAAGGTTCTCATTATCCATCCTGTCATTTTTCTAGCAGATGCGATTGATACAATGTTTATGGTCCTTGAAGGTGAGATCCTCCGACATGATCACTCCCAGGTCTTTGACGTTGGTGTTTCGCTCTATTTTGTGGCCAGAATTTGTTTGTACTCTGATGAAGATTTAATTTCCTCATGTTTACCATATCTGAGTAATTGAAATTTCTCATCGTTGAACTTCATATTGTTTTATGCAGCCCACTGAAAGATTTGGTTGATGTCCGCCTGGAGCCTTGCAGTGTCTGCAATGGAAGACACTGTCATGCAGATTCAGGTGTCATCTGCAAAGGAAGACACGGTGCTGTGGCTGACATCCTTGTCTATGTCGGATATGAGGATGAGGAACAAGATGGGAGCGAGTACTGTGCCTTGTGGAACAGAGCTTTTCACCGTAGCTGCCTCGGACTTTACTCTGTTGACGACTACTCTCTGTGTTCTGTTAGTGAGGAAATTATAGATCCATCGACCGACTTTTACTGTTATTCCTTTAGCACACATTTTGTGCGCTATTACGCCATGGTCACACTTGTCGAAGGCTTTTGTAAAGTCTGTATATATTACATCTGCATTCTTTTTGTCTTCTAGTGCATTTAGGACCTTGTCGTAGTGATCCAATAGTTGAGACAGACAGGAGCGACCTGTTCTAAACCCTGTGGTCAGTGCAGCTGACTAGTGATCTTAGATTGCAGGTTCAAAGCTTGTCCCTTCTTTGAAAAAATAAAAATATGAAAATAAAGTAAGATGAGACTGAATTCTCCTAACATAAATATTTATTGAAATCGCCTGCTTGTTATTTCAGTATGTACCATATTAATAAAGGCTCCAAACCCAGTCCTGAAAAACTTATGACAAAATGAATAGTAAAAACATTATGTTCCATTTATTTACCAGATACTCAATTACTGCTAATCATACTAGTAAAAAAATGACATGAAAAATTATAACCCCAGTGTTACCTTTCTTTCCAGGTTCTGAGTCATACACAGCCATCAGTTTGAGGTTAGAAAATGGGATATCAGGATCATTGTTGTGATCAGCTCGGCGATGAATGAGCGTCACTGCCTCAAACACATTAGCAGGCAATTTCTGGGTAGAACTTCCACTAAGGAGCTTCAAGCGAACACTCGAGCACCGAGCAGAACTGCACAAATAAACCACAAAAGTTGAATTACAATAAATTTAGCTACCTGCATTATGTACATTTCAGTTCGCTGGAAAGTAATATTCCTTGGGCCATGAAGACACCCAAACTGTAAACAAAATTGTTAAAACGAGATTGCTCGCTGATTGTATAGTAATATCAAGTGCAAATGAACATTCAATATTTTTTTTCAACGAACCGGCTGTACCCCACCAAGGCAATGTGACCTAAACAGAAAAATGAAAGTTTCTCTCTCTCTTTTTTTTTTTTTTTTTCTTCAACAAGTCGGCCGTCTCCCACCGAGGCAGGGTGACCCAAAAAGAAAGAAAATCCCCAAAAAGAAAATACTTTCATCATCATTCAACACTTTCACCTCACTCACACAATCACTGTTTTTGCAGAGGTGCTCAGAACACAACAGTTTAGAAGCATATACATACAAAGATACACAACATATCTCTCCAAACTGCTAATATCCCAAAAAACCCTCCTTTAGAGTGCAGGCATTGTACTTCCCATTTCCAGGACTCAAGTCCGGCTATATAAAAATAACCGGTTTCCCTGAATCCCTTCACTAAATATTACCCTGCTCACACTTCAACAGATCGTCAGGTCCCAAATACCATTCGTCTCCATTCACTCCTATCGAACACGCTCATGCACGCCTGATGGAAGTCCAAGCCCCTTGCCCACAAAGCCTCCCTCACACCTTCCTTCCAACCTTTTCGAGGACGACCCCTACCTCGCCTTCCTTCTCCTACAGATTTAAATGCTCTCCATGTCATTCTACTTTGATCCATTCTCTCTAAATGACCAAACCACCTCAACAACCCCTCTTCAGCCCTCTGACTAATACTTTTGTTAACTCCACACCTTCTCCTAATTTCCACACTCTGAATTTTATGCATAATATTTACACCACACATTGCCCTAAGACAGGACATCTCCACTGCCTCCAAGCTTCACACCCATTTAAGAGTGTTGGTATTAATATACTTTCATACATTCCCTTCTTTGCCTCCATAGATAACGTTTATTGACTCCACATATACCTCAACGCACAACTCGCCTTTTTTCCTTCATCAATTCTATGATTAACCTCATCCTTCATAAATCCATCTGCCGACACGTCAACTCCCAAGTATCTGAAAACATTTTCTTCCATACTCCTCCTCCCCAATTTGATATCCAACTTTTCTTTATCTAAATCATTTGATACCCTCATCACCTTACTCTTTTCTATGTTCACTTTCAACTTTCTACCCTTACACACACTCCCAAACTCATCCACAAACCTTTGCAATTTTTCTTTAGAATCTCCCATAAGCACAGTATCATCAGCAAAAAATAACTGTGTCAATTCCTGTTTTGTATTTGATTCCCCATAATTTAATCCCACCCCTCTCCCAAACACCCTAGCATTTACTTCTTTTACAACCCCATCTATAAATATATTAAACAACCATGGTGACATTACACATCCCTGTCTAAGACCTACTTTTACCGGGAAGTATTCTCCCTCTCTTCTACACACCCTAACCTGAGCCTCACTATCCTCATAAAACTCTTTACAGCATTTAGTAACTTACCACCTATTCCATATACTTGCAACATCTGCCACATTGCTCCTCTATCCACTCTATCATATGCCTTTTCTAAATCCATAAATGCAATAAAACTTCCCTACCTTTATCTAAATACTGTTCACATATATGCTTCAATGTAAACACTTGATCTACACATCCCCTACCCACTCTGAAACCTCCTTGCTCATCCGCAATCCTACATTCTGTCTTACATCTAATTATTTCAATAATAACCCTACCGTACACTTTTCCTGGTATACTCAATAAACTTATTCCTCTATAATTTTTACAATCTCTTTTGTCCCCCTTCCCTTTATATAAAGGGACTATACATGCTCTCTGCCAATCCCTAGGTACCTTCCCCTCTTCCATACATTTATTAAACAAAAGTAACAACCACTCCAACACTATATCCCCCCCCCCCTGCTTTTAACATTTCTGTCATGATCCCATCAGTTCCAGCTGTTTTACCCCCTTTCATTCTCCATAATGCCTCACGTACCTCCCCCACACTTACATTCTGCTCTTCTTCGCTCCTAAAAGATGGTATGCCTCCCTGGTCAGTGCATTAAATTACCGCCTCCCTTTCTTCCTCAACATTTAAAAGTTCCTGGTGAAAATAAATGGTATAAAATACCAACAATATGGAAACAAACACATATGCAGTTTAATGTGATCCTTTATTGACAACGTTTCACCCACACAGTGGGCTTTTTCAAGTCACAAACAGATCTACCTGGGGTGGAAGGTATGGGAGCATTTATAGTCAGGTTCAGAATGTTGAGGTCAGGTGGAGAATGCTGCATCTGATGATCCAAAACTAAACGTGGTGTAATTATAGGCTTCTTCCTGCGCGCACTCAGAATCTGCAGCAATGAGTTCCTTGAGGAAGAATGCACTAAAATTGAACAAGTATTTTCCAAACTCCACTATCCTCGTCACTTCATCAGAGACTGCAGACGGCGGGTATTAAACATCTTCAACACACCCAGAGAAGACACTGCCGAGAAGAGATACATAGTCCTCCCCACCAACTCCATTGCCAAACATGTTTCCAACATCTTTTCCAATACATCATCCCAAATATCTACCTCCACAACCACGACCATCAAGGACATCACCAGTAGTAGACAGGACAAGCTTCCAGCCTCTGCAGGGGTATACATAATCCCTTGTAATGACTGCAACAAATTATACGTGGGCGAAACATCAAGAGACCTCCAAACACGTATTTCAGAACACCAATACGCAAGCAGGACTGACGATACAAGGAATGCCTGTGTACAACATCGCAATTCACACAACCATTTAATTAACTACAGAAACTCAAGACTTATCGCCACAGAAGACAACACTCAATACCGAAGAATCCTGGAATCATCGCTTATCTCTATAACCAACAATTTCAACCAGAACAATGGCTTCTATAACATAGCTGAACCACTTGCCAAGAAACTTCTTCATCGCTATCCCACATAAGAACATAGAACACTGCAGAAGGTCTACTCACAACTTGTCCAATACCCCCGCCAAGCTACCCAAGACTCTTTAACCCAACCAAGTGGATCATCAGATGCAGCATTCTCCACCTGACCTCAACATTCTGAACCTGACTATAAATGCTCCCATACCTTCCACCCCAGGTAGATCTGTTTGTGACTTGAAAAAGCCCACTGTGTGGGTGAAACGTTGTCAATAAAGGATCACATTAAACTGCATATGTGTTTATGTTTCCATTTAAAAGTTCCTCAAAATATTCTCGCCATCTACCTAATACCTCCCTCTCCCCATCTACTAACTCCCCTACTCTCTTTTTAACTGACAAATCCATACTTTCCCTAGGCTTTCTTAACTTGTTTAACTCACTACAAATTTTTTCTTATTTTCATTAAAATTTCTTGACAGTGCCTCTCCCACTCTATCATCTGCTCTCCTTTTGCACTCTCTTCACCTTTCTTTTACTCTCCATATACTCTGCTCTTCTTATAACACTTTTGCTTTGTACAAACCTCTCACAAGCTAACTTTTTCTCTTTTATCACACCCTTTACTTCATCAATCCACCAATCACTCCTCTTTCCTCCTGCCCCCACCCTCCTATAACCACAAACTTCTGCCCCACATTCTAATACTCCATTTTTAAAACTCATCCAACCCTCTTCAACCCCCCCCCCCACTACTCATCTTTGCACTAGCCCACCTTTCTGCCAATAGTCGCTTATATCTCACCCGAACTTCCTCCTCCCTTAGTTTATACACTTTCACTTCCCTCTTACTTGTTGTTGCCACCTTCCTCTTGTCCCATCTACCTCTTACTCTAACTGTGGCTGTAACTAAATAATGATCCGATATACCAGTTGCCCCTCTATAAACATGTACATCCTGGAGCCTACCCATTAACTTTTTATCCACCAATACATAATCTAACAAACTACTTTCATTACGTGCTACATCATACCTTGTATATTTATTTATCCTCTTTTTCATAAAATATGTATTACTTATTACCAAATTTCTTTCTACACATAGCTCAATTAAAGGCTCCCCATTTACATTTACCCCTGGCACCCCAAATTTACCTACTACTCCCTCCACAACATTTTTACCCACTTTAGCATTGAAATCCCCAACCACAAGTAATCTCACACTTGGTTCAAAACTCCCCACGCATTCACTCAACATTTCCCAAAATCTCTCTCCCTCCTCTACACTTCTCTCTTCTCCAGGTGCATATACACTTACTATAACCCACTTTTCACATCCAACCTTTATTTTACTCCTCATAATCCTTGAATTAATACATTTATAGTCCCTCTTTTCCTGCCATATCTTATCCTTCAACATTACTGCTACTCCTTCTTTAGCTCTAACTCTATTTGAAACCCCTGACCTAATCCCATTTATTCCTCTCCACTGAAACTCTCCCACCCCCTTCAGCTTTGTTTCACTTAAAGCCAGGACATCCAGCTTCTTCTCATTCATAACATCCACAAACATCTCTTTCTTATCATTTGCACAACATCCATGCACATTCAGACTTCCCACTTTGACAATTTTCTTCTTATTCTTTTTAGTAATCTTTACAGGAAAAGGGGTTACTAGCCCATTGTTCCCGGCATTTTAGTTGACTTTTACAACACGCATGGCTTACGGGAGGAAAGATTCTTATTCCACTTCCCCATGGATATAAAAGGAAAAGTAATAAGACCAAGAACTATTAAGATAAAATCAAAGAAAACTCAGATGAGTATGTATAAATAAATGTGTACATGTATGTGTAGTGTGACCTAAGTGTAAGTAGAAGTAGCAAGACATACCTGTAATCTTGCATATTTATGAGACAGTTTAGTTTAATATGTTTATTATGCACCCCATACCCATCCTGTGGGCGGTAGTCAAAAGATTACAGAGGTACGTAATTGGTCCAGGGACTGGACTCCAAAGTTTTGATAGCTGAGCAAGTTACAAAGGTAATGAACTAGATCTGGTCATAATCATGACCAAGTTACAAAGGTAATGAGCTCCAGGTAGAGTTGGTCACACTCATGAATAATTGCAAAGGTAAAGATTCAAACACATTAATCATGAGAATTTACAAAGGTAATGAGCTCCAGGTAGAGCTGGTCACAATCATGACAAGTTTCAAAGGTAATGAATGATAAACACGTTATGACATGATTACAATCATAGACAAATTGCAGAGTAATGAGCAGTTTAACAAACATAGTAAGGAATTCATCCAATGCCCAATTATACAGAAGAGGTTACTAGCCCCTTGCTCCTGGCATTTTAGTTGCCTCTTATGACATACATGGCTTATGGAGGAAGAATTCTGTTCAGATTCCTCATGGAGAACATTCAACATATTTACTACAAATCTAAAATAAGGTTCACTTTAAGCTAGAATTAACTAATTAGGAATCTTTCCACTTTACAGTATTAAATTTTCTAACCTGACAGGGCCAATGATTTCGCCAGGTTCGGCTACAGGTCCACACTGTGCAGCTCCAACGAGGGAAGGAAATAACAGAAATCGCTGGTCATCAGTAGGACGTTTCCGGCCATAAGACAGCGTTGGGACCCACATCAATTCGCCCAAGTCCACATAATCATCAGAATCTCGGACAGATACCAAACTCTCCTGAAAAATAAAGGAGTAAAGAAAACCATGCTGTCAGTTATACATATGAATGATCTATAATATTTCTAATACATACAGTAATGTGGATCTTCTACAGAGAATTTGGTTGCAAAAGCAGGATATTCTTTTGGTTTCCATATAAAGTAATTTATATTTTTCTATTTCCATGTTAGGTAGTGTGGTATGCATAATGGGATGTTATTTTTGAATAAATTTTACATGCATAATACCTGTATACCTGTATTAAAAAATAGCAGTGAAGTATACTTGGGCCCAAGAACACCAACCAGTGCATAGGAAATAATAAGTACACCTACCATCTGACTTACGACCAAGCTTGGTTCCGACTAACTGGTTGTAAGTCAAAATGGACTTAAGTCGAACCTTACTACTGAATATCAACATCACATTATTGTAATGATTTTATTTTATTCTTTTATTTTGGTATTTCATTTTTTATTTTACTTTTTATGCTGTTAGTGCTGTATTTTATACTGTAAAGTTTAGGAGAAACACTGTGTACAACACAAACAGTTATTTATTTTCCAGAACATTTGCATACAAAACATGATCATAAGTCGAACAGGTCGTAAGTTGGATGGTAGATGTCATCAGGTTTACACCAATAACCCACACATTGGAGAGAGGAGCTTATGACAATGTTTCAGTCCGACTTGGACCATTTACAAAGTCACAGTTAGTGTTACTTTGTAAATGGTCCAAGTCGGGGTAGGGGTCGTCCTCGAAAAGGTTGGAAGGAAGGGGTAAGGGAGGTTTTGCGGGCGAGGGGCTTGGACTTCCAGCAGGCGTGCATGAGCGTGTTCGATAGGAGTGAATGGAGATGAATGGTATTTGGGACCTGACGATCTGTTAGAGTGTGAGCAGGGTAATATTTAGTGAAGGGATTCAGGGAAACCAGTTATTTTTATATAGCCAGGCTTGAGTCCTGGAAATGAGAAGTACAATGCCTGCACTCTAAAGGAGGGGTTCAGGATATTAGCAGTTTGGAGGGATATGTTGTGTATCTTTATATGTATATGCTTCTAAACTGTTGTGTTCTGAGCACCTCTGCAAAAACAGTAATTATGTGTGAGTGAGGTGAAAGTGTTGAATGATGATGAAAGTATTTTTTTGGAGGGGATTTTCTTTCTTTTTGGGTCACCCTGCCTCGGTGGGAGATGGCCGACTTGTTAAAAAAAAAAAAACTAGACATGACAGGGATGTGTAATGTCACCATGGTTGTTTAATATATTTATAGATGGGGTTGTAAAAGAAGTAAATGCTAGGGTGTTCGGGACAGGGGTGGGATTAAATTATGGGGAATCAAATACAAAATGGGAATTGACACAGTTACTTTTTGCTGATGATACTGTGCTTATGGTAGATTCTAAAGAAAAATTGCAAAGGTTAGTGGACGAGTTTGGGAGTGTGTGTAAAGGTAGAAAGTTGAAAGTGAACATAGAAAAGAGTAAGGTGATGAGGGTATCAAATGATTTAGACAAAGAAAAATTTGATATCAAATTGGGGAGGAGGAGTATGGAAGAAGTGAATGTTTTCAGATATTTGGGAGTTGATGTGAGCAGGGTAATATGTAGTGAAGGGATTCAGGGAAACTGATTAGTTTTATATAGCCAGGCTTGAGTCCTGGAAATGGAAAGTACAATGCCTGCACTTTAAAGGAGGGGTTTGGGATATTGGCAGTTTGGAGGGATATGTTGTGTATCTTTATATGTATATGCTTCTAAACTGTTGTATTCTGAGTACCTCTGCAAAAACAGTGATTATGTGTGAGTGAGGTGAAAGTGTTGAATGATGATGAAAGTATTTTCTTTTTGGGGATTTTCTTTCTTTTTGGGTCACCTTGCCTCAGTGGGAGACGGCCGACTTGTTAAAAAAAAAAAAAAAAAAAAAAAAAAGTGTAAACTGGGGCATTTATAAGTTGAGAACCTCCTGTATCTTACATTATATTGAAAAGGGTGAAAACAATCAACCAGAAGGTGAGCTATGAGGTAAATCATAAAAACAAAGTTTGTTGCTTACCTCCTTTTTTAAACGTCGATCCCTGAGTCTACTGGCAGAACTGAGCGAGTCAACGCTCCGGCCTGGTGATCGAGAGGCTGACCGAGTCTTGGACTTTGACCTTGACTTACTTCGTTTCTCTTGGGACTTGGAATCTTTTTCTTTTGAATTGCCTTTTAAAAGTTGAGAGTTTATTGTAATTTGAAATATATGCGCTTCTGATTCAGACACACAGCCAATCAAATCTTCAGATAAAGCTACTTCTTTAACAATGAATGACATATCTAACTCAATTAATTCTTCGAAGTCAATAAACTTCATCTTTGAAATATCGTGTGTTTTTTGGCAAAATTTAAATACCGTCACAGTAATGCCACAAGCCACAGCAATGTTCCCAGTAGACTGACAGCAAGCAATAAATTCTGCAGGTGTTCGTAGAGGAATTTCAACCATTTCCAGGTTTGTAACACCTGACTGACTGCTGGGAGTGACACGCCCAGCTATTCGAGCCCTCATTGGCTGGTTTGTATTATCTTGATCCCAATGAAGGTAAACACGCACATATCTGTGATCACCACCATGTCTTGCTGGCTTTGTCTCTAAAGTAACCACAAAAGCCCCTGGAAAACAAAAAAGACGAGGAATAACCAGTGTCCAGTAAGTGCTCAGAGAAAATTTTAGATAAAATATCACATGATCATATTTTATTTTATTTGTTTTTAATCAGGGGGAAGCACTAAAACCATAAGGATCATGTAGTGCCTGAGGAATAGGAGGCATTCAGGTTCAATCCAAGGAAGAGGAGGATAAGTCCAGTTCCTTGGATCAAGAGCCCCTCATCTGCACCCCCCTAGAGGGGTAAGGTGATCATAGACATAACAGACTATTGGAACATAATTTCTTTACCCTCTTTAGTGTGCTAAAATGAGTTTTGAAAGAATGTTGTAAATATTATTGTTTTTATTTTATTATTATCACACTGGCCGATTCCCACCAAGGCAGGGTGGCCCGAAAAAAAAAACTTTCCCATCATTCATCCATCACTTCCTTGAAGCCTTTTTATCCACTTCTACGAGGGCTATGGGTTCACAATTTACACCAGAGGTGGGACCCTTCTATAAATTATTATATATATTATATATATATATATATATATATATATATATATACTTTATATATATATATATATATATATATATATATATATAATATAAAGCCCTAGAGGAGTTACTCTGTTTTTCCATACCAGAATATAAATTGCAAAGTCAGGAAAAAAAAAAGGAATGACAGCATAAACAAAACAATATACAGGCGCACATCAACAGCACATAATATAATACAAACACGTAACAACCATAAACAACAAAACAATAACGCTACAAACAACAACAACAAATTACTGCATTAACAAAAACAACAAAACAGCAACAATAATAACAGGCATAAAAATACAAAGACAAACAGCAAAAAAATAAATACAATAAAAAAGCAATAACAAAGGGGCAATAAGGGCCACGTGGCCGGATGGTTGCAGCTTCGCTTTCACACTGCGGAAAGTCCGCGTTGTTACCGGTGAGGGTTGAAACATTGGACCGTGTTCTTTTTACACGGTGTCTTTGTCGTTCTATCCCATCAGTATAAATAGGTACCTGGGTGTTAGTTGACTGGTATGGGTTCGGCATCCTGGGACTCATTGACATAATTTGCCCGAAATGTCTGCATAACAAGCAGATTCTATTATTACAGTATGTCATCGACGTCAGCCAGACCTGTATACTTTGTACTTGTAGAAATTAAGATATTACATTATTATTAATTTTAACAAAAGATGAATTAAGTATAAACAAAGAAGCGTCAGCTCCATATCTACCACTGGGAGCGGTAAACAAATTAACAATTTGATTTCTTTGCATAAAGTTATAATATGGTATACATATAAAACGTGTTGATAGTTACAATGAAAGCCACTAATCCTAATGCTTACAGACTACGTAATACAGAGCTAGACATATTTATGTCTTTACAAATAGTACATTTCTATTATGCCATGTGTTCGTTTACAAAAACCTATCTAATCCTGGACGTTATCAGGAATAATTATACTTTACCAGGTAGGTGGCCGGTGGCCTGGTGGATAAAGCTCCCGCTTCACACTCGGAGGGCTCGGGGCGCGTTCGATTCCGGCTGGGTGGAAACATGTCGACACATTTCCTTACACCTATGTCATGTTCACCTAGCAGCAAATAGGTACCTGGGTGTTAGTCGGACTGGTGGGGTCGCATCATGGGGGACAAGATTATGGACCTAACAATGGAAATAAGGTTAGTCAGTCCTCGATGACGCACTGATTTCTTGGTTATCCTGGTTGGGCTACCTCGGGTTAAAAATATCCGAAACAAATCTTATTTTTCTTATGTAAGGACGGAATTCCATAATTACTTTCTTGGTTCCCCATAGAAAATAAGTAACTGTGTCTGACTTTTCATTATTTTTTTTCGGGGGCAAAGGGGTGGGGTGGGTGGTATTCGACGTTAATTTACTCGTCCGCGATGTCTGATAATTGCAGTACCTAAAATCATCTCCACTGTCTCAGCCTTCTCCTCGCTCAACATTTCATCACCCATGCTTACACCATATAAGGTTTTGGTAAAACTATACCTCTCAAACTTCCATGTTTGCCTCAAGGCAAAGTTCTTTGTTCTCACAGAATCCTAAGTTGCACCACTCACCCTTTTCCCCTCATCAGTTCTATTATTCACCTCATCTTTCATAGGCCCATCCTCCGGACACGTCCACTCCCAAAATATCTGAATCCATTCACCTTCTCCATACTCTCTCCTCCAATCTGATATCCAATCTCTCATCACCTAATCTTTTTATCCTCATAACTTATCTTTCCTGTATTCACTTTTAGTTTTCTTCTTTTGCACACCCTACCAATTCATCCACCAATCTCTGCAACTTTCTCTTCAGAATCTCCCAAGAGCACTGTGTCATCTGCAAGAGCAAAACTGTGACAACTCACACTTTATGTGTGATTCTTTATCTTTTAAACTCCAACCTCTTGCACAAGTCCCTTGCACTTACTTCTCTTACAACACATCTATAAAATATATTAAACAATCCACAGGTGACATCACACATCCTTGTCTAAAGGGCCTTACTTTTACTGGGAAAATAATCTCTCTTTCCTAATTTACTCTAACTTGGAGCTCACTATCCTCCATAAAAAAACTTCACTGCTTCAGTAGCCTACCTCCTACACCATACACCTGCCACATCTGCCACATTGCCCCCATATCCACCCTGTCATGCGGCCTTTTCCAAATCCATAAAATGAACAAAGAACTCTTTAGCCTTATCTTAAATACTGTTCACTTTTATGTTGTTTCACTGTAAACACCTGGTCCACACACCCCCTACCTTTCCTTAAAGCTCCTTGTTAAATTGATATCCTATTATCCTTCTCACTTCTTAATCTTTCAATATAACTCTACCATACACCTTTACCAGGTATACTCAACAGACTTATCCCCCTATAATTTTTGACTATCTTTTGTCCCCTTTGCCTTTATACAAGGATCTATGCAAGCTCTCTGCCAATCCCTAGGTACCTTCCTTCTTCCATACATTTATTAAATAATTGCACCAACCACTCCAAAACTATATCCCCACCTGCTTTTAACATTTCTAACTTTATCCATGCAATCTCGGCTGCCTTACCCTTTCCTTTACCTACTGCCTCACAAACTTCCCCCACACTCAACAAACCTTGCCTCTTTCCTCACTCCTACAAGATGTTATTCCTCCTTGCCTATACACTAAATCACAGCTTCCCTATCTTCATCAACACTTAACAATTCCTCAAAATATTCCCTCCATACTTCCCAATACCTCTAACTCTCCCATTTAATAACTCTCCTCTCCTATTTATAACTGCACAAATCCATTTTTGTTCTCTTGGCTTCCTTAACTTGTTAAATCTCACTCCAAAACTTTTTCGTTATTTTCACAAAATTTGTTGATAACATCTCACCCACTCTTCATTTGCTCTTTTTTTACAATAGCTTCACCACTCTTCTTACTCTCTTCTTTTTCTCCATATACTCTTTCCCTCCTTGCATCATTCTACTTTGTAAAAACTTACTCATTATGCTAACTATTTCCTCCCTTACTACCACTCTTACTATCATTCATTGCACCAATCGTCCTCTTCCTCCCGCACCCACTTTCCTGTAACACAAACTTCTGCTGAACACTCTAAACACTACATACTTAAACCTACCCAAAACCTCTTCGAACCCCATTGCTTATGCTCTCATTAGCCCATCTATCCTCCAATAGCTGTTTATATCTTACCCTAATGTGGCAGATGTTGCAGGTGTATGGTGTAGGAGGTAGGTTACTGAAAGCAGTGAAGAGTTTTTACGAGGAGGATAGTGACGCTTCAAGTTTAGAGAATGTAGGAAGAGGGAAATTATTTCCAGCTAAAATTAGGCCTTAGACAAGGATGTGTGATGTCACCGTGGTTGTTTAATATATTTATAGATGGGGTTGTAAGAGAAGTGAATGCGAGGGTCTTGGCAAGAGGCGTGGAGTTAAAAGATAATGAATCACAACAACGTGGGAGTTGTCACATTTGCTCTTGCTGATGTCACTGTGCTCTTGGGAGTTCTGAAGGAGAAGTTGCAGAGATTGGTGGATGAATTTGGTAGGTTGCAAAAGAAGAACATTAATGGTGAATACTAGGAAAGAGTAGGTTATGAGGATAACAAAAGATTTGGTGATGAAAAGATTGGGATATCAGATTGGAGGAGGAGTATGGAGGAGTGGTGAATGTATTTCAGGATATTTGGATGTGGACATGTCAGCGGATGGGTCTATGAAAGATGAAGTGAATCATAGAATTGATGAGGGGAAAAGGTGTGGAGTGGTGCACTTAGGGGCTTGTGGAGACAAAGAACTTTGTCTTGGTGGAGCAAAGTGGGGAATGTATGAGGAGTTATAGTTTTACCAACGCTCTTATATGGGTGTGAAGCATGGGTGATGAATGTCTGCAGCGTGGAGTAAGGCTGGAGGAGTGAGGATGATCATGTCTGAGGGCAATGTGTGGTGTGAATGTAATGCAGAGAATTCATAGTTTGGAAGTTAGGAGCGTGGTGCGGGATTACCAAAAACTGTTGTCCAGACGGCCGGCGGGTGGGTGAGGAAGGGTTGTTGAGGTAGTTCGGACAGTAGAGAGAATGGAGCGGAAACACAATGACTTCAAGAGGTTTATCAGTCTGTAGTGGAAGGAAGGCAGGGTAGGGGTCGCCTCTAGGAAAGGTTGGAGGGGTGGGGGTAAAGGAGGTTTGTGTGCGAGGGGCTTGGAATTCCAGCAGGATGCGTGCAGCGGTTTGAAGGGAGTGAATGGAGACAATATGGTTTTTAATACTTGGACGTGCTGTTGGAAGTGTGAGCAAAGTAACATTTATGAAGGGGTTCAGGGCAACCGGCAGGGGCCCCCCCCCCGGACTTGAGTCCTGGAGAGGGAAGGTACAAGTGCCTGCACTCTGAAGGAGGGGTGTAAAATGTTGCAGTTTAAAAAACTGTAGTGTAAAGCACCCTTCTGGCAAGACTGTGGATGGAGTGAATGAT